AATATGTGGTTTTAAGTATGAGTAGATTTCTTGAAGTATTAATTCATGTACACTTTAAAAGATTTCTACACCACTAATCTTATTCTTTATAAACTCTGAGTATAATGCACAAAGTAACAAATCCATTTATTTATTTTATTTAATTGGTGTTCATAGAAAGAATGAAAGAGGTGGTGTTGCATYTGTTGCTCCATTATGAGGTTCCTTAGCTCTACCTCCCTCCTTGGCACAAATAGGGTTGAATAACAAATTGACAAYATTAGCARAGACCTTAWACACATGACCTAAAATGTCACATCGGTTCTTTGGCCAGCAAGCATTCAGGATAGACCAGTCTCTCATGCGTCCAATGTAGTTYTYATTATAAATCCTTAAGGTGGCCACATCAAAGTTTTTTGAGATGTCACTTTCCTCATACTGAGCATCGAATTTCATGGGTGGGCGATTGTGGGATAAGCCTTTAGCGTGACACAGATCTTCAATTCCAAAACCCTTATCTGTAAGTACTGTAGCACCCTTGTCTTTTATCATGTCAAGTACACCACAATCTTCAGTTAAGTCGTTATCTGTGATGGATCCAGGGTACGTATCCGTGCACATAACAAGACTACCGTAGGGYGTAATCCAAATTCCTGTTTTACCTGTGTCGTGATKCTTATATGAACTGAAAGTTACACTGCTGACATCATAATTTTCAGGAGAAGCAATCCAGTTCTCGGTGCAATCACCYAACAATACAGTATCCTTGAATCCHGAAGAAAAAAAATCTTTGGGTAAGAGAGAGAGAACCTCTCCAGGACAAGGGCYAAGGTCTACCTGGTCAAACAGCGTTGAAAGGAAAACRGCCCATGCAGTAAAGATTCTTGATTGAGTTGGTTGACTTGTGTTTGTCATGAATCCTATAATACCAAGGTCCAATGTATGTCTACATACTGTCATAAAACACATCAACTCAGTTCTCTTGGTTAGCTTTCTCTGCTCATTACTTTTACAATCTGGATAAATCATTGCAGGTATATAAGGCTCAATACAGTCAAATAGACAGTCAAAATCTTCAACACTAAGTCCAGTCATGTAGTAAAACTGCTTGGGTTTTTTATTCAAGCATTTATGTGAGAATGTTAACTGTTCAGTCTTGTGAACAAATCTCTTCAATTGAACTTGGTATGCTTCATTTTCGATTCCTAAGTTTTTAACCTTATGATTTAGATCATTTACTTCACTGGTCTTTTTTTCGAGCTTTGCCTTAAGATCACTGATTTGTTTTTG